GTAGAGTGAATGATGAGTGAAATAGCCACTACAGGGCAGAACATGTTGTTCACCCAAAAGCAAGAACAAGGCAATATATTTAAACTAGTCAAACATACAGTCGGCAAGAATATATGAAAAAAGAATCATGAGATCCCTAAATCTAAGCAAACTTCAAATGGGCGATTTGGTCAGTTGATTATGGCATTCAGTGTATTCACATTTGTTTGTACATTTAAAGAGAAGGTTGAGTTCTTGGAAGAGGTGAAAAATAATTTGTGAGCTTCATCATTGCAAGTGTGGAAGAACATCAGATACGAAATGTTTCCTGAAAAGCATGACTCTTCAAATGACTTAATATTCTAAATAGTGCTGTAACATCACGGATATCTCCAATTCCGTCTAACCGCCAGTCAAAGCCGGACGGTTTTCGGTTAAAAGGATTACAAAAAAAAATACATAAATAAAAAATAAAAAAATAAAAAAAATAATCATTTTTTTTTGTTTTGTTTTTTGACCGACGGCAGCAAGCCAGGTCCGTGTGTGAAAAAGCGGGAAGGGCTTTCATTTAACTGCGAGGTGCATTTGAAGGTGCCGATTTGTGCTTGTGAACTTGTCACAAATAATAGTAACAATGACGTTTTTGATGAATGTGTAAGATCATTAATGTAAATTAAAAACAGTAGAGGACCTAGGATAGAACCTTGTGGTACACCATGTGTAAAAGTTGGATGAATTATTATTATAAACTACTTATTGAGATCTATTACAAAGATTACTTTCAAACCAAGATGACAGATAAATTGGGAGTGTTGTTCTAGTTTCGGAGTGGAGAGTCAACACACAGATTACTGAGCTGGGAGACATTGCCAGGTATAGTGCCAGGTGGAGGGGAATTAATTGAAACTTTAAAAAAAAAAAATTATAAAAAAATACAATAATAATTTTTTTTTTTTTTTTAAAACGGGAAAACGAAACCGTCCAATTGAAAACGGAATCCGCCATGGGCGGTCGGACCCCGGATGGTTAAACGTTTGACTACAGCACTAATTCTAAACATGGCATGTAATAGCATAAAAGTCAGGACAGATTTTTATGTCACATGTTTGTGTAGTCCCATATACATCTTTCTGTGTACAGTGCCTGTAACTTTACCAAGACTGGGCCAAATTTCTTATTATTTTGATGATTCCAGAACCTTGCAGTACACGATGCTTACAGTGTACAATATGCTAGATGATCAACAATTTTCTGATCGACGTCACAACATTTCTTTCACAATGTAATCGCATGACCAGTACTCGACTACATGTATATCTTTACTGTGATCCCATTTATTTCTAGTTTTCTCTCTTAAGGCAATACCGGTACTCAATATACATTATAAATAGAATTTCTAACACTTTTAGTCAGGCACTGTACACATGTACATTACATGTAGATGTATATCTTGAAAAGAGAAACATAAAATCATGATATTTTAGTGTACTGAATGGGAGAGTTGTTCTCAATCACTTTACAGACACATGACAATTCACCAAATTGAGATGTGCAGTTGTGCACACCACATACATGTACATGTACACTGTATTTCTGTACCTTTCAAAGTTTAAAGCATTCATAATTTTCTAATAATTTATCCAATTTCTAACAAACTATCAACAACCATTTTCCCCTGATTTTTCTACTCTTCCAAAATTCAACTCATTATTTAAGGTTGGATTTCCCTAGGCTAGAATAAAAGAAAATTGATTTTTCACAATCTCAACAATCTTCCACTACATGTTCAAGAAAAAATAAATTGGTAGGAAATGCTCAATAGCAAAAGGATAAAGAAATAAAAAAGCTATATTTTCAACACATGGTCATGGTTTCAAATGTCAGAAAATATAAAATTGCCATCGCCATTTTTTTAAAAACTTATATTTTCACCCCAACAATATCCATCTACTGCATTTATAATGAACAATCCAAAATTTCAAAGAAAATTTTCTTCACAAAAGACACAAATACAATTTTTTTTTCAACACAATTTTCTTTTGTACTTGATCACAGACCTACACAATGTACGCGCTAACTCACTGTACAGCGCTCAGTGCGTCAAGTTCTACAGTGTATGTAAATGCATATTGCATAGAGTATTTGTTGCTGTGGGTACATTCGGGGGGAGGGGGGGGGGGAGGGGTACTCACATATTAAGACAGGGTTGTGCCGCTCTAATGGGTCACTTGTTCACAAAAAATTCCTAAACAAGGGTCCCATTTTTAACCAAAATATCCCTAAACATGAGTAAAATGGGCTTTACTTCGAGCAACCCCCCCCCCCCCCAAAAAAAAAAATGACCCTTAAAAAATGGGTAGGGGTTTCGAGGCTTGAGCAGCACACCCCTGTCTTAACCATGTAGGAGTCACAAACAATATGCCTTGCCCTACCTAACAACACAAAATATATGCAGTTAATACAATTATTCTGAAGAGCTGAATAAAATAATTTATATAGAGTTCGAGGCACTTCACACAGATGAGTCACATACATATGCATTAAACTTAGTTACATATTCGGAAAAATGGCCCATTGTCACTGGAGCACTTTCACTTTGTCTTCATCATTTATACATGCCATTCCTTACTTTTTAAAGATGTAGTCTAGGATCTACATTGTTTGTAATGATTATCACCATGAAATATGATTGCAGACATCAGAAGATCAGTGAGCATTACAATAAGTGCAATCGTGCAATAATCAGGCCCTAACCCCATTATCTACAACAAAGACTGGTGTACGAACCCCCCCCCCCCCCATCACCCAATACAAATGCTAACAGTAACACCTGAACACTAACCAAAACTTCAGTGAATTCTTATTCAATTATTGTTAAAAGTAAACATTAATATAAAAAGATAACAGCAGAATTCTAACATGCGAAATTGACAAATTTGATGTTGGCACAAATATCTGAAAAGCGTGCAACACTCAATAACAGAAGTAAGAAAACATGGCCATGATGGCAGGCCTTAAATTTCGTCATTTTTAGGGCAAGGCCAGTTTGGCCTCGAGTACCTCATATTTTTAAGGGCACCAAGGCCAAAATATTTTTACAAAAAGGGCATCGAGGCCAAAATATTTTACAAAAAGGGCATCGAGTATGAGGCCAAAAAAATTGATTCTATTTTTGTTAGATGTCGTGTGTATTTTATGAAACTTGTGCAGGATCAATTTCCCACGACTTTTAGCACCAGCTTCTTCACAGAATGTATAGAGGTCTACGGTACATACAAACAAGCAGGCGCGTAGCCACGGGGGGGCACGTGCCCCCCTAAAATTTCCAGGATCGGTTGAAATTTTGTAGACCCCTTTTTTTTACCTCGATCGATTACATGTATGTGCCCCCCCCCCCCCAAACACCAAACTCTGGCTACGCGCCTGCAAACAAGGCGGCGGCCCGCAAGCCTTAGATTTAGCAGCCAGGAGCAAGGGGCAATTTTTTTTTTAAGTTGCCCTTTGCCACGGGAATTTACCAGAGCAAGGGGCAATTTTCCAAAAACAGATAGGCCGCTTATCTAATCATAAGTTCAAAGAGAGTCTACAAATGTTAATTTCATAATGTGAATAGATCGAACGATCAATTTAATAACTTTTTAATCTTAACAATATGAACAGGAAAGATTGATTAAGAACATCAAACTTGCACATTAAACAGTATTTTAAAGTAACTAAATATATTGATGAGCAAATGAATAAATAAATTGTCAATTTCACAAACATCGAAAGTCAGAAGGACTTAATTGGCAAGTTTACCGGGCCGGGTATTCCAAATCAAAATCGCACCTCACACACAAACCTTCCGCCACTCTCTCGGTAGTAGGAGCAAATTTGAAGAAATTATCTTTTTAACTGTTGTATAGAAAGGTCTACATAGGCCTAACTAATGAAATAAGTTGTAAAAATGTCCTTATAGACATTCGACAGCTGAAAGTGACACGCTCAGCTCAGTTGCGTAACGTGCATTCACGAAACCAAAATCGTTCCTCGCACACACACTCTCGCCACTTTTGGTGGGAAGCTGTCGGGCTGGAAGTTTGCCAGCGAAACCGATGCACCCTCGGAATTTTACCGGGACTCGAAACGTTCGTCTTGGGAAGCTGGCGGGGTAGCTTTTTGAAGCGAGGTCGGCTGGTGGCAAAATGAGAGTAACTACGATCGAGAACATCGTAGGTGTTCTTAACTTATTAATAAGATAATTCTAAATTCTATTTGAGATAAAATAATAAACTAGGCCTACAAACAAACCTCGACAGATCTCTAATGACTATTTGAATGCTTGTTTATTTCTCCATTTGACGATTTGTTTTCTTGATCCTGGCCTTCGATTTGTACGTACGTGCGTGCGTCAACAGCATGCACCATATGCATATCATGCGATCGCATAATATGAACGTACGTACGTACGTGCGCTAGCGCATTGCCTATAAGGGCGCATTTTCACGGCACTTGCGCCTTATTAAAGCACTAAATACGAAGCTAGAAGAGAGCTCGTGGGCGGCAAACTGTTCGTGATTCGTGTATTTTTACTGTTCTAATAATTTATGGGCGCATTTTCACGGAAAACACTTGCGCCTTGCCGTCTAGTTTTAGATGATTATGGGCGCAATTGGTGGTTTTATGTGCGCAAATTTAAAATAAAAAGGGCACGTCCAGTTGGAAAAAAAGGCACGTCGGCCAGTTTGAAAAAAAGGGCACGGCCTTTTTGGCCGTGAATATATCTTTTTTTGGGAGGGCACCGCGGCCAGTCATAGGGGCATCGACGGCCTGGCCGTCGATGGCCGTCGATTAATTTAAGGCCTGTGATGGTCGACAAAAATATAATTGTGCATACTTGTTCAGTTGTGCTTCCATTACCAACAACAATCCATTCATGCAGCCGCTACATACATGATCATGTAGCGAGCTCAGACATCATTGCGATACACACCGAGTCGACACCGGTAGCTCGCGAACCAAATCAGTTTTCAGAGACTTACCTTTGCTTAAATCCAATGGTACATCCGTATCTCCACTATCATGGCGGCCTGAAATGAAAAAGAACAAAGGTAGACACATTCATTAGTCCTTTATCCAACATTCAGGATGGCAAAGTCTCATATAAGGATGAATTTAACTTACCTTTTGAACGTCTCAGACTTCTTCCCCTGTACATGGTGGCCGCCATGATGACCAGACAGTAAACGCATGCGCAGTTTGCATATTTGACGAAACCGGTTAATATCTTTTCTGATGAGTCGATCGCTGGGGGAAAATAAATAAAAGGTGAATGAACTTCTGGAAACGCCCATGATACGGATACAATAAAAACAGCTGATTTAATATCCACTCTGTGACTGATTTAGCCTACAAAAATTGCAATTATCATAATGGTGACTCAGTAGCAACAACAAAAAAGAAACCTTGTATATAGTAACATGAAATTAAGATCATGAAATTCAAGTTTACCAACGACAGAGAGCGCTTCTTGGAAGTGTTGAAAATACCAAGTTTGGATTTAATTATCGACATGATAACTACATAATATATACATGAAGGTCTACTATTCTGTTTTTATTCGTTCAATGACATACACTTCATCTACTATTCCCCCGTCTCTCTCTCTCTCTCTCTCTCTCTCTCTCTCTCTCCCTCCCTCCCTCCTTCCATCCCTCCCACCCCCTCCACCACTCTCTTCCTGGACGTCACAATGATATGGTATGTTATACAGCTAGGAAACAAAATATGACCTATTTATAAATATTATGACTATATTTTATACTTTTAATAACAGGAAGAGGAAACATCTATTCAATCCAACGAAAATCTAATCTTCATGCGAATTAATAGTAGAAAATGTATCTATTTGTCAGTGAAAGTTGCTCTTCGATGTATATATATATATATATATATATATATATATATATATATATATATAGTTCGATTAGGGAGATGTGATATCTCCCTGGTTCGACCTTATTGAACAGTACTGTTGCAGACGGTCAGTGTAGAGCAGGCCTTCTCAACTGGCGGCGCGCGCGCCACTCGTGGCGCTTGCGGTCAGTCAGAGTGGCGCGCGGCTGTTCCAAAAAAATAATACAAATTAAAAATTAAAAATTAAAGAAAGAACAACATTAAAACAATTTATTTTAAAATAAAAAAACTCCGAAAAATCATTAAGTCGAAGTCGAAGTTGAGCCCAAAATGTAAGCAAGCCATTTTGTTTGCTTGATTTGCACTTCATTTTGACATTTTCCGTGTTTATTGCACCAAAATAACTACATATAAATTAACTTCCAGTGTAGATTTTAGCCAGGAATTGTACTAATTAATTCACATCAATATGAAATTATGATTGATGTTTTATGGAACAAAAAGGTGTTAAAAATGCCACATCTGGGCCTCAAAAAAGCCCTAAAATCCACTAGCTTCCGGGGGATTCGCCCCCTGGACCCCACCCGGTATCGGCTCGGTCGCTACGCTCCCTCATAACACAGTCACCAAACATACAGGTTGGCACTTCAACCTCAATTCATTTTTGCTTTGGCGCTTCTAATAAACTAGTTGAGAAGGCCTGGTGTAGAGGATAGTGACTATACCTTCATGTTTCACGAGATGGCGCTATACGTGTTCCAGTAAAAGGCGAAATAAAATATTAGTGTGACAAATCGCAACGGAGATGAGAAAAGAGTCCCCAACCCCTTTCTCTGGCATAATGCAGACTTCATTAATTAATGATTTAAACGAATAAATTTCAAAGGGTTTATTTTACTCCGTTTTTTTAAAAGTCTGCGATAATATCTAACATCAGTTATGTATTTTGTATAAATTTGTTAAAGATACGATGTCCCTTTTGCAGCCAACATCAAATTCTGTAGAACTTTGCAGGAATTATGAATATGTCATGTATGTCCTATCTGTGAAACTTAAACGTTAGCAGTGTCCTAATATTAACATTATGCAAGGAAACCCGTTTACTTGCTAGACTTCACTGTCAGACACTATTGAGTGACTGGCTGGCTTTTTCTTCTTCTTTGGTAATAACACACATAAAATGAGCTGTAAAGGGTAAATAAGCATTTGTCTACATCAATAACCCACTTCTTGTAATGGCCAAAATTAAACTGATTGAATCTTTGCGCAGCATAAAACGTACGACTATTCGGTACATTAGTCTGAAAATAAGACCAATACTTACTGGCTCTAAAGCTCTTAAGTCGATTTGACAACTAATAGTCATTATTTTCCCACTTAAAGACACTTTCAAGCCCCCCCCCCCTTTCTTTTAGGAAAGTTCTAAATTAGTATTATTTTTCAAATGCCGTTGGAATTTAACATTTTCATTTTTGGGCCTGCAAATGGGACATAGTACCTTTAAGAAACTTCATTCACGTGGTACATTGATAATAGGTTGTTTTGTTTTACAAAACACTAGCAACAACAATTTTTTTTTTTTTTAAAGTACAGGAGCACAAAATCAATTAACTGGTTAAGTAACTTTTATGCATGATATCAAATGAGATTAAATAATAATAAGATGACCAGGGGTAATTCAAATACAATGAATTTGTTGACGTTTTACCTACTTGAATGGCAAACCATCGCTTGTGAAAACAGTATTTTCAAAAACATTTAAAAACAAAGTTTTTTTCTTCAATTGTCACCGCATAGATTACTTTAGGGGTGGGGGCATCAATTGGGGGTCAACCTCTCTCTCTCTCTCTCTCTCTCTCTCTCTCTCTCTCTCTCTCTCTCTCTCTCTATCTCCCTCTTACTCACATAATTTATTTGTTTGGATTGAAATCAATACAGTTTGAATTTGAATTTGAATTAATTTACAAAATAATGAAGTGGGTAAATTGACATGCATTGAGATAAACTTTCACCTCTTTCATCTGCCCCCCCCCCGTCACCATCTCATCTCCCCCTCTCTCTTCATCTTTCTCTCTCTCCCTCTCTCTCTCTCTCTTCTCTCCCCCTCTCTCTCTCTCTTCTCTCACCCTCTCTCTCTCTCTCTTCTCTCCCCTCTCTCTCTCTTCTCTCCCCCCCCCTCTCTCTCTCTCTGCTCTCTCTCTCTCTCCCTCTTTCTCACATAATTTACAAAATAATGAAGTGGGTAAATTGACATGCAATGAGATAAACTTTCGCCTATTTCATCTGCCCCCCCCCCCCCTCCGTCACCATCTCCTCTCCCCCTCTCTCTATCTTTCTCTCTCTCTCCCTCGCTCATTATCTCCTTTCTCTGTTTCCCTCTTTCTCTCTCCCCCTTATCTCTCTCTCTCTCTCTCTCTCTCTCTCTCTCTCTCTCTCTCTCTCTCTATCTATCTATCTCCCTCTTGCTCACATAATTTATTTGTTTGGATTGAAATCAATACAGTTTGAATTTGAATTTGAATTAATTTACAAAATAATGAAGTGGGTAAATTGACATGCATTGAGATAAACTTTCGCCTCTTTCATCTGCCCCCCCCCCCTCCACGTCACCACCTCCTTTGCCCCCTCTCTCTATTTCTCTCTCTCTCTCGATCTCTCTGGCTTTCTCTCTTTCTTCTTCACACCCAATTCTCTGTTTCCATTTTCCCTTGACTATGTCCATGCAACCAAGGTTTGTTCTTGAGCCTGCAGGATAGCAACTTGGCAGGAAGTATGAGATATGATGAGTCATGCTTATAGAGGTAAGCTGAACGGGGTTGCTTAAAAACTTGGGTGGTACACACTAATCATACTCGGGTCCTTCATTTCCGACGAAAAAGCGATGCAGATATTTAAGTTCATTCTCTTTATCCACGTTTTTAAAACTCTCCTCTCTGATTGAGCACTGAGCTGCCCATCCCCACAAGAAAGACGTACCGAAGATGCTCCGAAGTCTCCAGAAGATTCCCGAAGTCTCTAATGATCTGGAGAGCAATGCAAGTCACATCGAGATGATTTTAAAAATGTCTCCCACCCCAACCCCAATTGGGGAAACATTCATCCTTTTCGATATTCTTTTTTGTTTTGTATTTCTCTTTTCCGAGATTTATAACGCTTCTAAACAATGTGAAAGCATTTTCCTTTTGGGTTAAAAAAAAAAGGGGGGGGGGGGTGTCATAAATTTAAAAGACCTTTGATGATAGTCAGGCACTGACCCCACAACAGATATACTGTAAATATAATCTTACCGAAATGAATGATAATTTCTACACTGGTTTCAAAATATTTGAAGAACCTATTTGACAAGCATGGATAATGTCTCAAGAAGTCTTTAATATATATATATGTTCAGTCTAAAAATAAGCCGAAGCATGGAGGAAATTCCTGGCTGGCATTTCCCCCGAGAAATCGAGGTTCACAATACAGCTGTATAACAACTATAACCAGAATCACCTAACCACCCTGACTAGATCTATAAATACATGAGTAAAACTAAAATAGTGTTCGGGAAAGTCGGTTACTGCTAAAAGAAGGAGGAAATGTCAAATATAACACCTTTCTTTATTGCACTATTTTTTTGTTCAGTTATTCAATAATCTAAACCTAAGAAACTATATGCACTGTAATATGTCATGATGCCGGTGATTATCATTGACAACATTTATATATAGTATATTGCGCTTGTATTTATGCAATAATTCGTCGCTGTTTTCACGAAGTGACGGTAGTGAAAAAAAATTGCATTCATTTTGCGTTACGATTTTCCTCACTACCGTCACTTCGTGAAAACAAGGACGAATTATTGTCAACTTAGGGTTAAATTAGTGGAATATAACATGCTTCAGTATCCAGGGCCTCTTTTATGAGCAATGAAGGCCTTCTTCTTCCCGTAATACATTTATGTGTGTTGCTCATCAATATTTTCATATCCGAAGTAGGCTCTCGTCCAACTTGACCAATCTCTTTCAAATGGACAGGATGTTTGCCAAATAGTGACTGGTCAACCACACCATGACATGCTGGTTAATCTGTGTCTTATTCTAGCTAATCAACTCGTGCTGATTGAGGTACCGGGTTTAATGGCTTATATACGATCCGTTTATTTCTAAAAGGAGTACTTTAAATTAATAACCATTCACTTTGATTCGCCTTTAAAAATCCCAAATATAAGGGGTCTTGTCTGTGAGCCATGGTTGCCTAAGGTCTGACGTGTATGTTCCCCTTCCTGTTTCCAAGGAGTTTGAGTTTCCGCGGGCGGCATTGACGGGGTTATTCATAACGAGGGTGAATCTAAAACTGGGTCTTGATCGAGCTGGCTTTTGTTGTTGATGTTGTTTCGCATCTGTCAAGCAAGCAGGCACTCAGCGTATCGCTTTGAACCTGTAGTTGTTAATCTTGAGAGAAAATGAGTGACGATCATCATCATTGGAAAATGATATGAAAGTGAAAAACCCCTTCACAAGCTGGGTGACAGTATGAGCTATCTCGTTCATGATTTTTAACGAGTGACATCAAGGATGACATCAAGGATATAGTCGGAAGACAGTGTCTTCTTTTAGAAGGAGAACCCAGAGGGAGACAGGATTACGTAAAAATCGGATAGCCATCTGACCACATCTTAATTGAGATGCCATCCTGAAGCAACTATTACCGTTCATCAGAATAAGAGCACAGTGAAACATTACCCATCTCAACTTAGTGAAAATAAATCGAAAACGCAGAGAGGATGAGCGAAGCAAATCCAGTCCTATACTAAAAACAAGAGACACTTCCAAGGAAATCCAAATGTAGGCCTATATTTTATTCTTGTGAGGCCTGCATTGAACTTCGAAGGTATACCGCTTGAATGACAGCATCGATTATTCATCAAAATCCCTTGAGATTAATGGACAACACTTTTTCGGAAGTGCGACCCCCAATCAAACAGGTGAATTCGGGTGAGGGGGGCAACGATTTACCCCTGTTTCCCTGTCTGACTCTTGGAGCCGTAATATTGCATGTATGAGAGAACAATATAACGAGTGGTATGGATATGGATATCTACGCAACCCCTGCCGGTGACATTGACAACAACATGGCGCACTCGGAGACGGGAGGAGTG